TCTGTGTGTCTCTCCAGCCTTGCCACCTCCCGGCATGCCCCCAGCTTCTGTCTCTGCCTCTCTGTCTCTATCTGTCCCTTCCTTACTCGGCTCCAGACACACAGCAGTCTCAGGCTGCAGCCGTCCGGCCTCCCCCAGGCCCAGTCTCAGGGGGCCCCTCGCCTCTCCAACCTCCCAGCTGACTTTTGGCCAAAGCCCCTTTTCCCTTCGGCTGCACTGGAACAGGATTGGAATTTTTCAACGAAACATTCTTCGGAAAGCAAAGGAGGGATCCAAGAAAATAAAAACAAAAGCAGACACATAGAAACAGACCCAGGAAACCTTGTGAGCAGCTGCACATGGTCCCTACAGCCATGGGGATGCAGACCCTCGTGGCTGGCACAGCTGGATGCCTGGGAGGCCAGCAGCGGGGAGCGGCCAGCCCAAGGACACGAGGCAGAGCAGGGCAAGGAGAAGACGGGAGGGCCTCCCAGGCTGCAGAACCTCCGGGCCAGTCTTAGAGACCCATTGTTCTGGTTGAAAATCTAGGCCAAGGCCGCTGGGGAGGCAAGGGGGCGCGGCCACCACTTGTCTGGCAATCTTGAGATCACAGCCCGGCTGGGTCACCAGAGAACCAGCTGGCCCCCCTCAGCCTGGTCCCCAGCCAGTGCGGGCTGGGCAGCAGGGTGGCCGATAGGCAGGCAGGCAGCAGCAGGCACTGTGGGGTGCAAGGCCCAGCAGGGAACACGGGCAGCTGCCCTAATTACTCCCGCTCTCCAGGTTCCAATCTCCCTTCAAAAGGGCTCCAGGGACACAGCCTTTAATAACTACCAGTAAACAGGCAGGAAAATCGATACCTGGTAAAGGGAGCCCTGGAGAGGGGGCTGGCCACGCTGGCTGGCCCTGACCAGCCACATGGGCTTCCCGACTCCTTTGCAGGAGAGCTGGTGTATGTGGACGCTGCTCCCTGAGAACGCCCCCCCCTCCTGGGGACCCTGGTGGGGCTGTGTCTGCTCCGCTCCATCATATCAACCCAGCCTCGTTCCCACTCCCTCTGCGCCCTGACACGTGCCAGGCAGGTTGCCCATTTCACTGGCAGGTGCCCTTTTTTATGCCAGGCTCTATACCTGGTGCTTGAGATTTGATTGAGTCTTGTCCTCTTGAAAGTCATTGACCAGGAAGAGAGATTAAAAACAAATACCTGATTTAAGCACAATGTGAGGGTAGATGTGTAATAATAAAAAAATTTTAAAAACCCAACAGGTAAAAGCTATAGCAACATAACCACCTGCCTAGAGGAGGTGGACATGTGTAGGGTTTTGATGGATGAATAGGAGTTCACCAACTGCCCAAATTTGTTGGGTTTTTTTGGGAGGAGGCAGTGTAATGAATGTAAGTAGTAATGTATGTTAATAATGTTATTAACAGCCATCCTAGCTAACATGCACTAAGTGTTTACTATATACCGAGTGTTCTAGTCTTTTCTTTGGTCCACAGTATCCGTGTGGAGTAGGTTTTAATATTCCCATTTCACAAATGAGGACGCTGCAGTTTATGTGTGAAGCCAAAATTTGCACAAGGCCTGTGAGACTGTTGTTTCAACCGTTATATTCAGTACCTCCCACCTCTGCCCTGCCACTGACCTCAGTGGGACTTCAGGTTGGCTCAGAACTTGGCACGTTTAGGCCCAGCTGCAGTACTTCTCAGGGCCTTTGTTAAATAAGGCACATTCCTACCTCTTCCCTCCCATCCAATGGATTACACCTACTGCATAGCAGCACCTTCAACCCTCCCCAGGAAACTGACATCTGTACTTCCGGCAGGCCACGGACTGACATTATCAGTCACAGCCCCTCATCTTGCAGATGGGTAAACTGAGGCGCCAGGAGGGGAAGACAAGCATCTGGAAACAGAGCAGGAACCGACTTCCATAGCTTTTTCCTCTCTGCCCAGTCTCATCTCCGTGGTAAAGTGTTCCACCGCCAACTGAAAGATTGGCACTTTGAAGCTCCCAGGTTTTTGTCAGAGTAAAGGTCTGGCTGTCCGCTCCTGCAAAGATTACAGCCTTGGAAACCTATGGGGCAGGCCCACCACCCTTATAGGGTCACTGAGTCAGAACTGACCAGAGGGCTCAACGATCCTTTTCCCACTCTGGAAGAGGCACTGTGGGCGAGGAAGGGTAAAAATCAATACGCACACACTCGATTAAAATGATAAGCCCGGCAGCTGAGCGCAGCGCCCCCAGAGGCCTGGGGAGGTTTCCCCCATGATTGGCTGGGACCAATTAGACCCTCCCTGACCTGACAGGACAGGGTGGGATGACCCCCCTGGGTTCCCAAGGCCGTGGATCTTTCTAGAAGCAGAATACAGCGTCCTTCTCCTTCGGAGCAGCTGATGAGTTTGAGCTGCCAGCTGTTCCCTTAGCAGTTGAGAGCTCTAACCCCTGTACCACCAGGGGAGCTGATTTCCTGAAGCTAGACATTCCACCCCTTCCTCATCCCCTCTGTCAAATCAATGGCTATATCTCTGTACCTCGAGTTCCCCGTTGTCTGGGGAATGAGGGGTCTTCTGGAGGCAAAGAAGTGGGCAGAGGAGAGAAGCCCAACATGGGGTGGGGGTCCTGAGGAAGGACCCTGAGGGTCCTCACCCATCTGACTGCAGAGCTCTGAGAAACAACCTCATAATCACCCATTCTCTAGATGAAGCCACTGAGGCCGAGGGAGACTTAAGGGACTTTCCCACGATTGAGAAGCAGTCAGGGGTGCAACCATCCTGCACGTGTGCAGAAGGAACCCTGCAAAAGATGCTCTCTGCTCAGGCCCTGGTGCACACAGCCAGCTAAGGGCCCTGAGAAGTCTAGCAGCCTTGGCCTTGATCTGTTGACCCCGCTCTGTCCTGGGAGCCACTCTCTCAGGGAGCATCTGGAGGTTTGGGCAACACGGGGCAGGGGTTGGGAGCAAAGTCTCAGTGCCTTCACTTTTGTGTGGGTGTACCGTCAAATCAGATCTGACTGGTACAGGAGGAGATTGCCCCTCCTTCCCCGGCAGAGCATCTGGTGGATTCGAACCGTGTGCCTCTGGGATTGTAGTTGCAGCTCCTTGCCACTAGGCCACCAGAGCCCCCCAAGTGCCTTCACTTTTGAAGTAAGGACACCTGTCCCCCCCAACCTGGCCACAGCTGCCATGTGGTTACCATGTGAGTGCTCAGCCTGGGCGCAGCCCCAGAACAGGCAGGCAGAAATGCTTACTGAAGGAAGGGACAAACGGACAAAGAGAGGAACAGAAAACACATAGGAAAAACAGTCAAAGGAACGGACCAAAGGGAGTGAGGGAAGGAGTATATAATAGAGCTCAGAGTGAATCAGGGTGTGTCCTAATGAACTGTGTGTGGATCTAGAGATCCCGTTGGCCAAGATTGCCCGTCTTTCTCGCACAGAGCAACTAGTGGATTTGAACTGCATGCCTTTGGCAGCACGACTCCTGACCACTCGGCTACCAGAGCTCTCTCCAGATACTTGGCAGTGAGCAAAACTTGTTCTGAAGGAGCCAGGCAAGAAACAAGCTGTTGACCATAGCAGGTCCATCAGAAGGGGAAGCGGAGCAGGGAGAGGGTTGAGGAGTGCAGTGTTACACGAGATGATTGCAGATGAAGGGATTGGAGAAAGGGCCAGAGGAACGAGCGGACCAGGGGACGGGCGTAAATGCGGCACCGGGTGAGAGGGCTGGCGTGTGGCTTCAGGCGTGAATGAGTGATCGTGGACGCAGGAATGTATGGCTTCGTGGACAGCGACATGCATGTGGAAAGTAAGGTGTAAGCAAATAAATACCTGCATGTGTGGGCCGAGGGCTGAACAAATGAATGCACGAGTACGTGCACACAGGGAATGAATGAGTCAGTGAGGGAATGCGCACAGTAGGCCAGTGTCCAGATGGAGGGCAAAGGAATAGATAAACTTCAGAACTGAATGAATGAACTAATGAAGGAATTTTTGGATAAATAAATAAACGTGCTGAAATTATGAAATGCATCAACGAGTGAATGGGTGGCCTGGTGAATGAATGAATGAATGAACTAATGAAGGAAGGCTTCTGTGCCACCCACGCTCCCTCTGCCCTCCTCCACAGAGGTGTTACTACCTCACCCCCTTATTGATGTCCCCTCTGCCTTTTCTTTTAAATTACTTTAAATGAAAGTTTACAGAAATTTAGGGTTTCTATTCATTCATTGTTACACTTTTCTCCCTGCCCATCCCTCCCCCCATTCACTCTTCTTGAAAAGAAAAAGAAAAACTCTCTCATTGTTATACAATCCCTCCCCCCAAGTCCACTCCACTATTCAGCCTTCACTCTGGACTTCTGTAATGACAAGACTACCCATTCGTATGTCCCTTTTAAACAGTTCTCTCCCTCTTCTGTTTCAATGCAATATACATCATTCCCCTCCTCCACTCTGTCTTCCCTCAGCCCTGATGTCAGTCCCGTTTTACAACAGTGGCCCTATGCAATATTGGTCCTTTTGTGACTGAGATACTTCATTTAGCATAATGTCCTCCAGGGTCACCCATTTTGCGTATATTTCAAGAGTTCTTTGTTTTTCAATGCTGTGTAATATTACATTGTGTGAATATACCAGAGCTTCTCTATCCATTCGTTTGTTGATGAGCACTTGGGTTGTTTCCAGCGCTTTGCTATTGTGAACAAAGCCTCGATAAACATGGGTGTGCATATCCCTCTGCCTTTTTTTGACACCCACTTTGTGACATTTCCCTTCCCCCAACCTATATTGGCCACGTCCCTGTGCCCCATTCCCTGCCCCTGGCCCCTCCTATCTGTGCTGGTTCCCCCCCACCGGGTGCTCTGGGCCCCCCGGTCCTGTTGACCACCCCCCATCCTTGTCCTGTCTGGACCCCTCCCCAGGTTTGTTCCTCCTTCAACCTCTCCTTTCCGGCCAGTGCTGCTCCCCCCGGCCCCTCTCTGCCAGCCCCCGTGACTGACCCCCGCGCGCCCTCTCTCTGCTCACAGGCACCATGCGTCCCGTGCGGCGTAACTTCTACGACCCGTCGTCGGCGCCGGGCAAGGGCATCGTGTGGGAGTGGGAGAGCGACGGAGGCGCGTGGACGGCCTACGACATGGACATCTGCATCACCATCCAGAATGCCTACGAGAAGCAGCACCCGTGGCTCGACCTCTCGTCGCTCGGCTTCTGCTACCTCATCTACTTCAACAGCATGTCCCAGATGAACCGCCAGACGCGCCGGCGCCGCCGCCTGCGCCGCCGCCTGGACCTGGCCTACCCGCTCACGGTGGGCACCATCCCCAAGTCGCAGTCGTGGCCCGTGGGCGCCAGCTCGGGCCAGCCCTGCTCCTGCCAGCAGTGCCTGCTGGTCAACAGCACGCGTGCAGCCTCCAACGCCATCCTGGCCTCGCAGCGCCGCAAGGTGCCCCTGGCCGCCCCGCCGTCGGGAGGACCCCCGGGCACGCTCGCCGTGCGCCCCAGTGCCACCTTTGCGAGCGCCGCGCTCTGGGCTGCGCCCACCACCGGCCCCACGGAGCCCACACCGGCCTCGGGGGTGCCCCCGCGGAGCCCCAGCGCCCCCAGCAGCGCGCCCACCCCGGGACAGAACAACCTCAACCGGCCGGGACCCCAGCGCACGACCACCGTGAGCGCGCGCGCCTCCATCCCGCCAGGGTAAGCTGAGGACCCCCCAGGGCAGGGGAGGGGAGACCTGCCGAAGGTGGAAGAATGGCCCTGATCAGTGGTATCCGACCTTTCCTACATCTTTGCTTTGTGCCAGACGTTAAATAAGCACCTAAGTGTATTCACGATTTTCTGCAGGGACCCCAGGAGAGAAGTACCACCCTCGTCCCCAATTTACCAGTCAGTGTCTGCTTCTCTGTGACTCCATTGTGTCAGATAGACCTGCCTTTCCTGGTGCTTTCAATGGCAGGGTGCTCAGACCTTTCTTCCTTAGTGCCTCAGGGTGAGCACAGACCTCCAACCCTGTTAGCACCTGAGTCTTGTAAACATTCGCACCACCATGGGAACTGGAATGGGAGGAAGGCAGGTAGCTTTTCAAACAAAAAAAAAAGCAAACTCACAGTTGATTCCAGCTCCTGGCAGCTCTCCTAGAGAGAAACACTGCCTAGCTCTCTCCCCAGAAGCACCTGAGGGGATCGAACCACCAACCTATCCGTTAACAGGTGGGCGCCTAGCCCCTGTACCACCAGGACACCCTCTGTCCTCATCACGTACGATTAGGGGGCTCTGGTGGCCTCTCCTGTAAGGTGTTCTGCTGTTGGCGTCTCTCTGACACTTTGAATCTACCAGCTGCTCCTTGGGACAAAGATGGGCCTTCTTCTCCCAGGGCTGTTTACAGCCTCCAAAAATGCACTGGAGAGTTTTTGTTTCCAACTCCACAGCAGTGCAGTTTGATGGAGTTTTTAAAGTGGCTTTTGTTTGATGGTGGTTGTTTTGTTGGGGGTTATTTTTTTACTTGAAATGAATGCTGTTATTTTCAAACTTGACCCCAAGGTGGTTTGGGGTTGTATGTGTCTGAGGCCAACACATGCAAGCCTTTCCTTTCATCTCAGAGTGGGGGAAGAAACCCATGGCCTGGGGAAGGGACAGGGCTCTGGCCAGCAGATGTGGATGCAGGTATGGCCTCTGAGAGCCACCTGAAGGCGGCGCCACTGAGCGGTTCCCAGGAACCACCATCATGTCTGTCCCCAGCTGTGAGAGCTCTTTGACCAAGTTAAAAGCAAGCCCGTCTGTTAGAGAAGCTGTGTGAGTCAAGAGAAGCCCTCGTGACACAGTGGGTTACAAAGTGGAGCATCAGCCGAAAGTTTGACAGTTGGAATCCACTCTCTGCTCTAGGAAGAAAGAGGGGCTTCAGAAACCCCCAAGTTCACTGGGCTTAGCAGCTGTTGGTCTGGCTTTTTATGAGCCGAGGCCGGCTGGGTGATCTTACTCTCCAGGGTGTAGAAAGTGAAGAAGCTGGGGAGGAAATGACGTTAAGTACATCAGGGACCGAGTTCATCTGTAAAATCAAGGAAGGTCTAGTTGTCATTTTTACGGAGTACTGTAACGTGCTGTGTTTTGGAGCTGATAGGATGGTAAAGGGATCTGCAGACACATGGCCTGTGTTCTGACAGGAGTGACACAGTGGTATCTGTGATTGATATGATTGACACTGTACTCTGTACCTGCACCTCGGCTGGCCAGACTGCCTGTCTGCCTTCTTTCTGTCCCTTTGAGAGTGTCTCATTGTCTGGGTTCATACATGACCTGGGATGAGTCACTTCCCTTCATTGAGCCTCAATCTCTTTATCTGTAAAATGGGAACAGGATATGATGCTGTTTTGTGCCTGGACAGACAACTGCACATCTCCACACCTCAGCAGCGGCTATTTTGGGGACCCAACTGTGGATCCAGGAGGAGAGGTGGGCGGGGGACAGAGGAGCTGGGATGATGGACTCCTGTCTGTCTTGTCCTTCCAACTTTCCCAGATCATTCCCTCTCTGACCACGGAGGTACCAAGTGGAGGTGTACCCCAGTGACCCCAGCCTGGGGCAAACTCCCGCATGGAGGGGGCTGGGCAGGTGCCCCAAGAGGTGAAGGAGGCCCCTGCCCATCAGATGGCCACAGGGGGCTAAATTTCTTTTGTGGCTCTTTTTAGATGGCAGGCTAGTTCAAGGTCTCAAAAATAGAAGGATGGGGGCCCCCGAAATGACAGGAAAAAGTGGTCTCCACACTCAAGTGGGTATGAGAGGGGCTTAGCCAAGTTGCAGGGACCTCCGTAAGAGGGATCCATAATGGGGATCGGAGAACTTTCTCCTGGGGCAGTATTTATTTTTAGTATTTATTTTATATTGGTTTGTTTACAAAGCTCATATACACTGTGTCTCACACTTTTCATTCACATTGTATTTCATGCTGTGTTATAAAATCATGGCCCTGTGCCCATCATTACCCTGTCTTTTCAGGTCCCCGCCAGATCCTTCGCATTTCCTTTACCCCCCCTCCCTCTCCCCACCACATTGTGCAACCCTGTGATTTCACCCCTACCCATCCTCACCCCTCTGCTCCCACCCCTCCCCTCCTTGGGCCCCCACACATGTTTTATTAGTTATCCTATTTTTTTTTTCAAACTGCAAATTGTCACTCACTCGTGGGTTATGAAGGCAGCCCTGGTGGCAAAGTTGTTGCGTGCTGGGCTGCTAACTGAAAGGTTGGTGGTTCTAACCCACCAGACTCTCCATGGGAGAGAAATGACCCAGTTACACGGTCTGTCGTTAGGTACCATCCCATTCGCTCCAACTCATAGTGACCTCCTGTCCCGCAGAGCACACGCCACTCAGCTCTGCTCCATCCCTCAGCCCCTGCTCTGTGGGAGGCCTTTGTTACAGTCACGTGTCACCCACCTCAAGGAGGGCCTCCCCCTTTTTCACTCACCCTCTGCATTACCAAGCCAGATGTCCGTCTACAGAGACTGTCCCCTCCTGATCCAGAGTGCCGGAGACCAGCTCTCACCACCCCTGCTTCTCAGAAGCATTCTGCCTTTATTTCTCCCAAGGCAGCCTTGTTCAGTCTTCTGGTGGACCGCCGTATGTTTTATATTATGTACCGGCATCATAATTCAAATGCATCACTCCTTCAGCCTTCCTTGTTCGTTGTCTGGCAATATGTGTAAAGAGTTTAGCCTTGGAAGCCCTGTAGGCAGTTCCCCTCTGTTCTGTGGGGTCACTGCGAGTGGCATTTGACTCAGTAGCACTGGTTTTAGTGGACTAAGAATTGGGAAGGTCATAAGTAGCCTTTTCTTAGAATGGGCTGCTCTGGACTGGAGTAGACTATACTGGGATACGAGCTGTATAGGTCAGATCTTTTGTGCATAGGATCACGATACATTGTAGTCTAGGCGATGGCACCTAACAACAGCTAAGTTGTTAGAGTTGTTAGATGAGGTTAGAGTTGTTCAGTAACAGCTGTTGGCACCATTTCTCCATGAGTTTAACGGATGGATCACCATGTAAAAATGAACCCTAATTGCTGATAATTTATAAAAGAAACTGGTTTTCTTGGTACCAGCAGCCAGGAAATCAAAAGACAAATTGCATTGGGAAAACCTGCTGTCAGGGAGCTCTCCAGAGTACTGAAGAGCAACGATGTCAGTCTGGAGACTAAGGTGCACCCAATCCAGCCCATGGTCTTTGCACTTATTTGCTATGCATCAGAGAGCTGGACAATGACTAGAGATGCTACAAGAACTAATGCCTTTGTGTTGTGGTGTTGGAGAAGGGTATTGACTATATCATGGACTGCTAGGTGAATAAAAAGGTTCATCCTAGAGAGGGTGAAACCAGGCTGCTCCTTGGAAGCAAGGATTCTGAAGCTCTGTCTTACATACTCTGGGCATGTTGCAAGAAGGGGCCAGTCCTTGGAGAGGAGACGTCACTCATAGGAAGGTAGAGAAGGGGCAGAGCAAGAGAGGAAGACCCTGGATGAGATGGATTCACTCAGTGACGAGGGTAGTGGGGGTAAGTGTGTCAGAGACGATGATGTTGGCACAGGACGGAGCGGGGTTCGGAGCTGTTGTACACAGAGTCCCTATGAGTTGCAGGTCACTCCACAGCACTTAACAACAACAGTAATATAATGATTGCTATGCAACAGCCCAGAACAACAATTATGGAGCACGCTGGGGAAGACTCTGCTTTGATGCCCTGTCTTAATTCCTCAAATAAGTCTTGCCTCAGGGTGTGTTCATAGAGGTGAACAAGACAGACAGGACCCTGCCCTCAGGGAGTTTACAGACTGACGGAGGAGGTGGATTCAGCAAGTAGAATAGTGAATGAACTTAATGGGGATGGAGGGCGTGTGTGAGGCAGCTGGGAGGTCAGCCAGGTAAAAGGGGGAGTGGGAGGTCAGGTCCGTAACAGGACTGATCCAGGCAGAGGGAACAACATCACAGTTTCAAGGGGCTGACTCCAAGGGTCCTGAGTGGGGCTGGAGGTGTGGTACCCTGGACAATGGAGGGCCAGCCAGCTGGAAGTGACAGCGCACCCAGAAGCTTCCAGAGACCACCAGGAATGACTATTTCCTGATTCCTTTCCCCCAAGTCTGGGTGCAGGGTCAGATTGTGGGACCTCCAGGGAACCTGGTGCCAAAAGCAATAGGGAGCTATGGAGTATGCTTGAGCTCAGGACGTGGGGGGCTAGAAAGAGAAGAAGGATTTCTCCTTGGAGAGTTGAACATTAAATGTGTCCTCCTCTAATCTACCAGAACCCCGAGCACCCCCAGCCACGTGCACACCCCCATCTGCACCATCCTCCCCTCCCTCCCGGGAGCTGTCCTTAGCATGCCTGCGCCCATACACAAGCCTCATCCGTCCTCAGCCATACGGAGCCTGTTCACTTTCTCCCCAGCCCCTCCCTCCCTCCCCATCCAGACGAGCCTGCCTGCGTCAGGGCCCCCCACCCATCATCTCCAAGGAATCCCAGCTAAAAATACCCCAGGCTCCACTGTAGGGGGGTGGGACAGAACCTGCAGTGTCTGTTGCTGGGTGAGGGGGAGTGGAAGGAAGAAGGGGGTGGGGGTGGTAGACCCTGGCTCTTCCAGACTGAAGCTTCTTGTTGCCAAGGCAACCAAGGTCCAGCTGCAGCCTAGAAGAGGAATGAGATGGGGTCTCCCC